TCCATAGGTGATTCCACCCTACGGTATAGTTCACATTTTACCACATCAACACTATTAGTATTCAAACAAACAGACTACACAAAAATTGGGCTTAATAAATAGGCAGGCCGGGCATGATGGCTCACACCTGTAATTCTAGCACTTTGGAAGGCAGAGGTGTAGATCACTTGAGGCCAGGAGTTTGAGACCAACCTGGCCAATACGGTGAAACCCCATCTCTACTAAAAATACAAAAACTAGCTGGGTGTGGTGGTGCACGCCTGTAATACCAGCTACTTGGGAGGCTGAGGCACAAGAATCACTTGAACCTGGGAGGCAGAGGTTGCAGTGAGCCAAGATCACACTATTGCACTCCAGGCTGGGCAGCAGAGTGAGATGTCTTAAAAAATATTAGTAAGTAAAAAATGAAACCTTGTTTTGATTTGAACTTATGTTTACTAATTGTACCTCCCCTTTTATGAATCACTTCACGTTTTTGCTCATACATTACTGAATGTTGGTATATTTCTCATTGATTTGTATACTTCTTTTACAGAGCAAAGACACGAGCCTGCCATTAGGATGCACTACTACGCCTCCTAGTTTACAATTTAATCTATTTTTTCCACACTTAAAATGACTTCCACTCATACTTTGGAGTTATGCCATTTGGCCTATATTGAGAGATATAATAAGAAACTACTCCGCTGGGCGCGGTGGCTCAAGCCTGTAATCCCAGCACTTTGGGAGGCCGAGGCGGGTGGATCACGAGGTCAAGAGATCGAGACCATCCTGGTCAACATGGTGAAACCCCGTCTCTACTAAAAAAAATACAAAACATTAGCTGGGCATGGTGGCGCGTGCCTGTATTCTCAGCTACTCAAGAGGCTGAGGCAGGAGAATTGCCTGAACCCAGGAGGCGGAGGTTGTGGTGAGCTGAGATCGCGCCATTGCACTCCAGCCTGGGTAACAAGAGTGAAACTCCGTCTCAAAAAAAAAGAAACTACTCAATGAAACCTGTTGCTTTATTTACTGAAAGGATTTTTTCTGAAGACAGTGTTGATTATATTAGTTTCCTCTTTACGAGAACCCACAGAAGAAATTTCTTTCTGATCATGGCCAGGCTTAGTGACTTATGCCTGTAATCCCAACATTTTGGTAGGCCAAGGAGAGTGGATCACTTGAGGCCAGGAGTTTGACACCAGCCTGGTCAACATGGCGAGACTGTCTCTACTAATAATACAAATGTTAGCTGGATGTGGTGGCACATGCCAGCAATCCCAGCAACTCAGCAGGCTGAGGCATGAGAATCGCTTGAACTCAGGAGGTAGAGTTTGCAGTGAGCTGAGACTGTACCACTGTACTCCAGCCTGGGAAACAGAATGAGACTCTGTTTCAAAAAAATAAATAAAATAAATGATATTAGTAGCAAGAATAACTATGCTTCTCCTGAATGCTGAGTTTGTTTTATGCTATAAACACAGTGAGTCATGGAACTGATTATATTGTCTTTACCTCAATTCTTAGAAAGCGTAAGTCAGTGATACAACCTGCCATTAACAAATGCAAGCACTTTAAAAGCACACATTTTAATGCACTAAATTTCATTCCTGGCTTATTATAGCTTCCCTTTCATTTTCCCTTTCATTTCCTTTATCCATTTATTTAAAAAATTTAAACCAGTTATTAAAATGATGAAGTACAAAAATGTATCGTGTCTGGTTTTTTAAGAAAGTGGAAGGTTAAAAAAAACTATAAAACAAAAAGTAGAAAGTCTCACCAAACACTGCATTAGAGCACTAAAGGACACAGTCCTACTTTTAAGGAGCTGCCACGCTAGTGGGCAAGCGACAAGTAAACACACAATTATCAACAAGCATGGTAAGTGCTATGAGAAATGAGAGAGAAATGTGCTATGGACACACCCAGGCAAGGCATCTAATTTGGACCAAAGGACTCTTGGAACGACTTCTGGGGAAAATGACGCAGATCGCAGAGGGAAAAGCAGCTTAACAGAAGGAGAGGCAATGGTGATCCGAGGAATAGAAAAGATCTCTACTCTTAGACGTTTTAACTTGATCGTAAAGACCATGGAGAGTCCACTGTAGGATTTTAAATGGGATTTAAATGACATGACCAAATTTGTATTTTAGAAGAACAGTCTGGTAGAGGTGTGCAGAATAGATTTGTAAGGGATTAAAAAAAAAAATGGATCCAGTCACCCTACCTACGAGGTCAGAAGTTCAAAAGCGATGAGGGCTTGAATTAGTTCATACTTTTTTAAAAAAAATTTCTAACTTCATTATATCTTATAACAAAAAACATAAGGTTTCTAATTTTGTTATGTTTTCTTTTCTTTTCTTTCTTTTTTTGAGACAGAGTCTTGCCACACTCCAGTCTTGTCATCAAGACTGGAATGCAGTGGCATGATCTTGGCTCACTGCAACCTCTGCTTCCTGGGTTCCAGGTTCAACCAATTCTGCTGCCTCAGCCTCCTGAGTAGCTGGATTACAGGCACCTGCTACCATGCTCGGCTAATTTTT